TTTTGACTGCGCAGGCTCGCACAAAACATTGGCCGCGAGATTAGCGTCCGGCATTTTCCTTGTAAATTTCTGCACAAAATGGCTCTTGTGAAATGTCCATGTGCATTTTGACTGCGCAGGCTCGCGGTGGAAAACATAAAAACTTTCCAAAACGAATGCCTTCCAAGACAAACGCCTTCCAAAACGAACGCCTCGACCCCAAAATCAGAGGGCTAAACATCATCGTCTTAGAACTTTTGCAAGTGACGCCATAGAAACAAGAATGCTGGCATTCACAAAGTTGTGTTGTAGCAGAACGATATGGTCATTTTGGAAACATGGAAGCATTTGTCATTGTAGAAAAACGAAACGGGTTCCTGTTTGTCCACAGAATTGGCGTGGTCCTGGATAGTGTGGGTGCTCGTGTATGAATGGTTTGACTTCCGATGTTTGGTTTGTCACGAAAACTAGTTTCTGCTAGCTGAAGTTCTTCTGTCTGTAGCAAAGTGTTGGCAGCGGCTGGAATCGCAACTCGCATGAAATTTCACAATTAAAACCCCCCCTTTCCTCCCTTTGGCTGGTTTTTTAACAACCAGTACGTACCCCTGGGGACATCGGTGCCATCAGCATCATCAGTATCATCGGCATCACGGGCATCGTGGCTTCACTTAATTCCTCGCAAGAAACTTTTTCACCCTCCTTCTCCGTTACCCTGCCACTAGCTTTCGCCCCTTACCCTTTAACCCATTGGTTTCAAGTATGTATTTGTTTCATCCTTTCTTGTATGTTCAGGTTCGTTTGCCACCCAAAGTTGCCACACAGTTGTGTAAAATAGCAAGGGCAAATTGTGACGGGAACTCCGTCCTTAAAGGCCAATGGGTTATTAATGTTCTGGCAAAACATACAGTGTGGTTAAACAATAACAAAACCATCCCCAAAATCACCATAAATAGGTGGTATAAACCATTCCCAAATGGGTTGTTTGTGATTGTTTTAACCACATTAAAAAACATGTGATGCTAAAAATGGGTTCAAGCGTTGCGAACCAAATTCAGGGTTAGACCTAAACCCGGGCTGATGAAACACGTGCCCGCGTTTGTATGACCTGCTGGTTGTAAATGCCAGTCGCGATCATGATGCAAGCAAGTACTACGCCAATCTGGTCCGGGACAAAGGAAAAAATGGTGCGTCTCAGTTTATCAATGCATTCAAACGTCAAATGCAACACGCAGCCCCGATGTGAATTTCAAACTCCGCCTGCCATCTACGCTGAAGTTTTGTCCGCTATTCATTGCGGCGCAAAGCAATTCAGCATATTGCCATCACATTCTCGGTGCGGGTAACGATGTTCCAGCATCACACCATGATGATGGTTGCCATGGCAATGTGCCACCACAAATGCACACTTGTCCCAGCTTCGAATGAAGCTTCATTTTGCGTCATTGTCCCCACAACTTGTAATTAACGCTTGCAACATCCGCAAAAATGTGGTTTGGCGATGCATTTAATGTCTTTCATCATGCTTTATCATTGTTCATTTGAACGGTATCATTTTGCATGGCATTGGGTTTCGCCAAAGTTATATACACCAATATTAACTTTGGGTATTTATGTGCGGGCGGAAATAGAAACAGGATGTTGTCGAGAAAGCACAATGCTGATCCAAGTTGATTCAACAATCCTTTACACGGTGACATTTTGGTGTCATTGACCCCTTCAATGCGACAGGACAGCGAAATCCGAAAGCAGAAACAGAAGGCTATCCCGGGGAAATTGGTGTCTTCTTGGGGCTGGGTATCCTAGAGAGGTTTCCAGGCAGAGTTGAACAAATTGCATCCGTTTGTGCTGCTTCGAATGTCGGGGGTCGTTTCTGTTCATCATGGCAACCTGCAGGTGAAGGATGCACAGGCTCTCGTTGACGAGCTAGAAAGTGCCCACGGGGAGAAAGACAATTTCCTTGCACTGAAGTGAGCCAAAACCAAAAAGGTTTACACAGCACGATGCTGAAAGAATGGTAGAAGACGGCAGCAAAACCCAAAGGACCTGCAAGGGAGTTTCGGAAGACACTCCGCTTCCTTTGATGTTTGACTGGCATCAATCAGCATGGTAGGTATCCGAACAATCACATTGGTTTGGCGACATCAAATCTTGCAGGATCATGTAAGACCTTGTTGGATCGCATAGAGTTTTTGGGGTTGGCTTGCAGCACCGGGGCGGTCTGCACTGTTGGGAACGAACAAGCACTGTGCCTCAAGCCTCTGCGGTTTGGTGTGTGTCGCAGCGTTTGGCATTGTTTCATGAAGTGACACACTGATGTCAAAAACATGAAACTGCATGAGTTGAAGCCTTGGATGTTCGCTTCCATGCCAAAGTGCTGAGCACGGAATGCAAGTGAGCTTGGTGGAGGGCAAACAGAAGATATTAATTACAAACTACACTTTACACTTTCACTTTCCATAAGCACCCGCACAACAGTGATACTGCTCATGAGTGATATCTTGTGTTTTGCTCACCAAGCCTCTTTTAGTTCGATGGCTCACACGAATAGACACGAATAGTGAATATTGAGTGCTTGGACATGCGCCTCGGGGTCCTTGAGCAGAGCAGCTGGCTACAACTTTTGACTCTCGCCCAATCGTTTGGAAGACTCTTTGCCACGTGAGTGGCAGAAAGTTGCCCGATGGCCGTTGAGTGCAAAGCTACAGCTGCGGCTGCAACATCTTCTTGCAGCCAACTTTGAACTGACTGCAAGGGGCTTGAAGTGGCTCAACAAATGGGACGTGAAACATTCCTCCTTTCACTCTTCCTTTCAAAAATGCGAATTGTTGAAATTCAACCAGTTGAGCCGAAGCCTTCAGGAATGCCAGTTGGAGATGTTTGGTTAGCTTGGAGAGTCTGCCTGTCGCGGATGGCATGCCCTGTATCTTCCTATCAGTGGCCACAAAAGGTCAGGTTCGTGGATCAACATGTTTGATATATGAATTGATATGAGAGATTGCGTTGGCACAGGAATTCGGTTGGTTTGTGGCATGGCACAGAGACCCTGACTGGTGGCCATTCTGGGGCTTGCCATGGGTTGATGCTCAAAGCATGGCCTAGGTCCAGGTGGGGCCTGGGCTGTTTCCAACAGGCTATCCTATCTCAGCTGCGGGGAGTCTATCACGAACGTTCAGTGATGCTCGAGCCGTGCTTGAGTTCTTACCAAATACATCGGGCAGTTCATCCAATGGGAAACACATAGGACAAGGACATGCAAGGACCGTTTTCCCTGCCAATGAGATGTAGGATATCTATGGATATCTAGAACACGAGCTGCCAGGCTACAATGTCCCACTTGACGACACGTACACGAGTTACATCAACACACCTGACGTTTAGAAAAATAAAGGTACTTCGCATGAACATACAGAATAATTACACAATGCCATGGTCTTGTTTGTTCATCTTGACCATCGAATTGAGGAGGTTTGAGCATGTTTTCTCCAGTCGCAGGCGTTCCTTCACCACTCACATGTCGCAGCGAAAGGTGTTCAGACGGGTAAAGTTCCTGATGCAGCATGATACAGGTGATAGTTACACACAGATAAATAGATAGATCATAAGATAAGATTAGATCAGATTATTAGATTAGATTGGATCAGATCAGATTAGATTAAATTGGTTTGAGATTAGATTAGATTGGATCGGATTATATTATATATATATAAGTATATACAAATGAAATAGGATATATATATATATATTTATATTTATATATATATTTGAATCAGCCTTGTTGCGACATGTTCGGAAGTTTTACCCTGGAAGTTTTGAGAGCAAATTTCTAGACGGCCAGCGATCTTTCACGCCGCTTGTGCGCAGCAGCATGGCCAAGAGGCTGCACGCAGTGTGTCTGTACACGCCACTCTTGCATACTTTTGCGAGAGTATACGACCTGTTTTAAGCATGCGGCACTTGTCAAAGAATTGCCCAATTTCATTTGCTTTGGGAATGCAGCAGGTAAGCACTCAACAGACACATCGCCCATGGCATTTGCAGTGCTGTCAAAGCTGACTTGGGGCGCTCATGCGTGAAAATTTCGGGAGGGCCTTCGTAAGACTAGAACGACAAACAGGAGGATTCAACCTATGACGTTGCAGAATATTGCATGTTCAAATTGGATTGAATCTGATTACTGAATATGTCTATTAGGGTGCACGGATGCTGGATGGACGGATATGTGAATGGACATACAGATAGACAGATAGACAGACAGCCAGGCAGCCAGGCAGACAGGCAGACAAGAGGCAGAGAGAGGCAGAGAGAGGCAGAGAGAGGCAGAGAGAGGCAGAGAGAGGCAGAGAGAGGCAGAGGGAGGCAGAGGGAGGCAGAGGGAGGCAGAGGGAGGCAGAGGGAGGGAGAGGGAGGGAGAGAGAGGCAGAGAGAGGCAGAGAGAGGCAGAGAGAGGCAGAGAGAGGCAGAGAGAGGCAGAGAGAGGCAGAGAGAGGCAGAGAAGGCAGAGAGAGGCAGAGAGAGGCAGAGGGAGGCAGAGGGAGGCAGAGGGAGGGAGAGGGAGGGAGAGAGAGGCAGAGAGAGGCAGAGAGAGGCATAGAGAGGCATAGAGAGGCATAGGGAGGCATAGAGAGGCATAGGGGGAGAGAGACAGAGAGAGAGGCAGAGAGAGAGAGAGAGAGAGAGAGAGAGAAAGAGAGAGACAGCGAGAGAGACAGCGAGAGAGACAGCGAGAGAGAGAGAGAGAGAGAGCGAGAGAGACAGAGAGAGAGAGAGAGAGAGACAGCGAGAGAGAAACAGAAAGAGAAAGAGAGACAGAAAGAGAAAGAGAGACAGAAAGAGAAAGAGAAAGAGAAAGAGAAAGAGAAAATTTCATCTGGCACATGGACTGGGCTGAATTGTTCTGGCACAGCGCACCTTCTCGTTAAAGCCTTAAAGCCTGCTATCCGTTTTGCCCTTTACTGACACAACATGTCACAAAGCAATCTTTGCTACGGAAATTTGCTCAGTGATGTGAGGTGCCTTCTCTTGCTCTTAAGTTCTCAAGGGACAGGGTGTAGCCGTGTTGCCGGTGCAGTGCCGACTCCGTTCGAATTTTGACCCATGGAAAGGTCTGATGGAAACCGCCCTGGCTCTGGAGGGAGTCGCCCAGGCTCTCGTGGGGCTTTGGGGATTGCAGGGGCCAGCATCAGTGTCAAGGAGTCTTTGGAGATTTTGCAGAATGCTTCTAAATCAAGTGAGAAAGCACTTGAAGTTCAGAAAGAAGCCAGAGCTGCAGTGGCAAGTATGAAAGAAGCCTCTGCCAAATTTGAACAAACCGTGGCTGAAGCGGAAAAAACATGTCAAAAAGGGAGCAGTTTGGATGAAAAATGGGAAGAATTCAAAGCAAAATTTGAAGCTCTGAACCGCATGGCGGTGGAAAAGATTATGGGTCTAGGAGGTGGTTCCTCTTCAGATCTCCGTCCAGCAGACCGTATTTCGGTGGCACGTGTAGCACAAGTTCTGAGGCGATCTCAGAATTTGGTGGTGCTTACCGGTGCTGGAATCAGTGCAGAAAGTGGCATCCCCACCTTTCGAGGAGCCGATGGCTTTTGGACGGTGGGCTCCAAACATTACCAGCCGCAGGAGCTGGCTACCTGGGAGAAGTACAATGAAATGCCTGCTGAGTTATGGAGGTGGTATCAGTACAGATGGGGCATTTGCCGCAAGGCCAAACCGAATCCAGGTCATACCTCTGTGGTGGAGCTTCAGAGACTTGCTGAAGGAGATTTCATGTTGGTCACCCAAAACGTGGATGGATTGCATTTGCAAGCTGGCACAGATCGCAGCAAACTTTGCGAGATTCATGGCCGGATCGATGAAATGCGATGTGATGAGAGGATCGAGGGGTCATGTTTGTACAAGCTTGATCTCAACAACATTGCCAATTTGGATCGTGCTCGGGCAACAGTGATGCCGACACCTGAGCCAGCCAAGGACGAGAAGGAGGAGTGCCTGCCTCTTTGTCCGAAATGTGGGGTCCGACAGAGGCCCAAAATCTTGTGGTTTGATGAAACTTACAACGAAGCATTCTTCAAGTGGAACACAGTCATGGAGAAGATGGAGCGTTGCGATGTTTTGTTGATAGTTGGCACTCAGTTAACAACTGGAGGGCCTCGATCAATGGTGCGTGCAGCCCAGAAAGCAGGTGCCATCATCATCAGAGTAGACCCAGAGGTTGATTTGAAGGATGACTCAACAGCAGGCATGCTCCATTTGCAAGGGTGCCTGGGCGAACTATTAGGGTTTTTGTTGCCACTCCACCACCATAGCTTTCAATTTCATTTTGCCAGTCCTAGACAGTTTTGTTCTCAAGCCCACTGGCTTAATAGTACATGTACAACTTGGCCACGTTGGCTAGCCGGCTAGCCCATTTTCGTAGTGACCTTAGGCATGACTTGTGCCATGTCATGGATCATTGAATCATGCTATAGCTTGAACGAGGTTGTTTCATGTTCTTTCCATTGCTGTAGGCCATTCCCAACCATGTGGAACCACGCGGAACCAGGAAAAGTGGTGAAGTTCTGCCAGATTTGGTGAAGGAGGTGGCAAGACTCCGCAAGGAGCCATTGATGCCACGCCTTGCCGCGATGGCTGACCTTCCGCCGATTCCAGAAGCGCCTTCTGCCCCAGCGGCCGCATCTGCGGCGCCCTCTGCGCCGTCGCTGTCTCGCACTGCAACGCGTGGCACATCTACACCCGCCGCGGCGAGGAAATCAATGGCACCAAGAGCACCAAGCCCTGCCACTAGAGCTCCCAGCCCCGGCATGAAGACTCCATCCCGGCCAGCTGTGCAGGCCTCAGAGTTTGATTTCAGAGGTTTCTTCAAACTTCAAACTCAAACGAAGTCATATAATTTCATTCAATTCTAAGAGCAGCGCGTACCTTGTTATTGTAATCTTTGGGATTGAACCATGGAGATTAGTTTCATCCAACCTGAAGCCAGCAGTCGGAGCACGGTAGGGCGTGTGATAATGAATGTAAATGAATGAAAGGCATCATGTGTTGTTGAGTGCAGGTGTGACGACGCAGGTGTTGTAGCGCACCCATTGGGCAGCTTATGTTTGCACCAGGTGTTTCCATATGATATCATATTGAGATACATTATATCATAATACAATATTCTATATAGATAGATTATATCATATAATATTCTACACACACACATATATATATATATGTATAGTATATACAGTGTATGAAAACATACAATTACAGGCATCTGACAAAGTCGTACCTGTTTTAGGACAAATCGTTATTCCTTGGGGAAGTGTGTTTCGCAAAAGTCGTGCCTTTAGCAAGAACGCATAGGAACTCTGGAGTTTGGATATGTAACCCGTTTTCTTATGAGATCACGTAGCTGATCACTATTAGCATGCAGAATTCCAGGTGGTGGGTATGTTGATTAGTTATAGGTAAGATGGCGTTGAGCTGGTGATTTGATCATTTTGGATGTTCATCCCAGATTATCTTGTTTTTCCCGAATGCGTAGCGAAGGGTTCCCGTTTATAGTCTGTGGGTCTGGGGGCTGGACCCTTGTTCGCCTCGAGTGGCTCGTCGCGTCGTCGTCGGGTCGGCGTCGCGTCGTCGGGTCGGCGTCGCGTCGTCGTCGCGTCGTTAATTCCGTGTCTATGGGGGAAGCTGCAAAACATCTCCTTTTCGAAGGTTTCCAAGCAGGTTGTCATATCGTTTTGCGTGGCAGGCGTGGCACTTTGTACTGGGAAGTACTTTGTGCAAGCTTTGTAGTACAAAGTAGTACTGGGAAGGACTTTGTGCAAGCTTTGTAGTACAAAGTAGTACTGGGAAGTGCTTTGTGCAAGCTTTGTAGTACAAAGTAGTACTGGGAAGTACTTTGTGCAAGCTTTGTAGTACAAAATAATGATGCAGAATCCCAGCGTTGACATGCAGGTTGCACACGAGAATGACATTATAAGAGAGTAGAAAAGCAATATTTTCACCAGTCGCGTTCCATTGTGTTTCATGTTTTTTAATGTCTGAAATGCATGTTTACACTTTTATTGAGGACAACGTTCCATGCAGAAAAGCATTTAGGCATGACTTAGGCATGACTTCTTGGATACAGCGTTTACAATAGTAAATGCCAGTCAAAAACACGCTAGGCTAGGCATGACTTAGGCGTGACATTGTCGTTTCCCTGTAGCATGATCATACGATCCATATGTGTTTCCGTTGTTTGCCGAGGCAAGTGCTAGCTCGAGCAGTTCAGCATCTCCGCCAGCCCGGGCTCCTTCACGACGGAAAGGGCGGGCAGCCTCTGACCGAGGGCAGATCCCCACAGGTTTCTTTGTGTATGGGACTCTGCGCCCTGATGACGATTCAAAGGCTTCATGGACCAAGTCATTCAATGAAGGTCTGGAAGCAGAAGTTGCCTATTTGCCAGGTGCTTCCTTGTACATTGATGGCCGCTACCCTGCAGTTTGTTTTGAGCAAACCAGTTGCTCAGTCAGGGGAATGCTGCTGAAGCCGGCGGCAGGAGGAAGTGGTGCTGGTTTGCTTGCTTCAAAGCTCACCGAGGCTGACCAAATCGAAGGCTACCCGGATTTGTACAGCAGAACAGTTGCGACTGTATTGACTGATCGTGGGGTGACCTGCCCCGCCTATGTCTACCACCGAACAGGGAAATTTGACCGCACCAGCTGCCAACGCATTGCTGATGGAGACTGGCTTTCCCGTGTGAGGTCTGGCCCTGCACTTCTTCCTTAGGAAAAGTGCAGTGTTTGAAGACATTTGCTTCACAACGGCACTATGTAAAAAGATACTTCAGTGGTCATGGCTCCTGCTTTCGCAATTTTGGTGCCGCGCCTCGCTATGCTATGCACCTGGGGCCACTTCATACCGAGACCAAAATTTGCCACCTTCTCGCAGCTTGAGCTTGTACAGAAGTTCGTATCCTATGCTAGCAAGGATGTGCCGAGACTGGCAGCTGCATGCAAAAGGGACACTTTCAACTGATTCTTGCGGGGCCTGGTTGTTGTTGTTGGGCCAGTCCGACTCTCTTGCCGCGGCTTGCCACAGCACGGCATTATTTTGTGGATTTGCATTGTGGCATGTTTCATGTTGACACTATTTCAGATGCAGCGTTGGACCCTAAGGCTCTGCGAGGTCGAGAAGGTCCATTTTCTTCAAAGTGGGTGGTCTGTCAGAGCCCGAAGTGGCAGCTTATGTGCAGGGTGTGGTGTTTAAGGTCCGAAAGCCATACTTGTCTTACTGGTCATAGATGATGTGGCACTGACTTGTGTTCTGTTTGGGAAATAATTTCGGGCAGGCCCATGCCGGGCAATAGGACGGTTCAGATCAACAGAACACATCAATAGGAAGTTTGGGTTTAGTGATGATACCGAGCAAGATAGCGTATCAGCTAGACGACGTTGCATGGCAAACATTCTTGGACGAAATAACTCTCAAGAAGATGTACGATGCTTTGCCGCATTTGAGGCTCAGGCACTCCGATGACCTTTGTTTTGCATTACGATTTGTGAATGCATGCTGCAAGTCCAAGCAGGATACCATAGGATACCCATCATGCTCTATAGCAGCTTCAGCCTGTGAATCTCGACTTAAAGCGTTCTACAAATGCATCAGTCGCATCTAGTGAATCTAGTGAGTAGTGGCATCAATGTAGCCCCTTCCCCAACCCAGCTGAAAGATCATAGAGACAAATACTCTAGCTTCTTCAAGGTGTGGTGGTGCTTTGATGCATCCAAGTCAGAACCACCCAGCACTGGTGTCAGCTGTGTCAGGACCAGCTTCTTTAAGGACTTCTACACTTCATACATTGGACATCATTGGACATTGCGCAACTCCAGTGTCATGCATAAACCTTTTTACAGCATAGCTAGGCATGATCTGAAAGGAACAAGTGCAGACTATCGCAGGCAGCTGCCTGTCATGAGCCATGAATCAAATGAGCGGCATGATTGCACCGCTGGACTTCTTTGCGACCGACAGTGCGCCCAGTGCACCTTGGACTGAAATTAGTCATCCCGCCCGGTTCTCTGGTTATCACGCCGTGAGAGCTTTGAAGCGCAAAGAGGTACAGGCATGCATGCATAGTCGTGCACAGGACCACAGTTATGTATTACTAACACTGTCAGGTGCATAGGCATATGACTGTATATACATGTTTATACATAAGTTGTCAAGGTTGCGTATAGAATGGTTGAATTGATACAAACATCATCAAGGAGCATCAACTAGCACACTTGGATGCTACACAGTCACATGTGGCTGGAGTGAGGCTGCCAGCCCAAGTCGCCTACGCACAACTGTGACAGAATGGCCGAAGGAGCTCACGTTAGGCACCGCAAATCCACATGGACTATCATGGACTGGTAAGACACATTAAGAATCATTAAGATACCCATGATATACCTATGATACCGCTCTCCAAATGAGTTCGCAAGAAAACCTCCAGGCGTTTACCCGGTTTACCCCCCCCCCCCGCATCATCAGGAGATGGACAGTCCTGGCTGCTTCGCGCCGGGGCCCCATGCTTTGTGACGGATGTCACAAACAGGGTGATGCATGCAGATGTGCACCATACGTTAGATTTAAGATGATTCGAATCATATTGTATAAATACATTGAAACAAATTAGATAAGAGGTTCTTTGTCATTAGCATTTTCGATCACCATTTGTTTTCCTCTCTCCAAACTTGTGAGAAGGGAAACTCTGTCTTTCTCAATTAGATCTCTGACCTGTTTTGTGTAGTTGGGTCGGCATATGCGAGCTGTGAAAATAAGTGGGAACTGCCCGTTGGAACTTGACGTTGTCTCACGTTTGCAAGTGCCAGGATATCGACGCTAGCTGACGCGGAGACAAATAGCAAGGTCAAGTTTCAAGGCATCAGGGCTTGGCTCGTGTCCAGCTCTGGAGATGGATTGGTCATGATCTGTCAACACAAAGGCTTGCAACGGCTTGCATATGTATGGCTTGGTAATCCATGGCATTTCATGAAATACAATATATATATCCCCGAAGAAATTTCCACTACAGAAAGGCAGGCCCTGTGCCCCCTACAGATGGTTCTGTAGCATCCATTTTGTAGAAAAATGAGAGGCTGTAGCCTGCTTTTTGTAGGAGATAATAGGTTCATAAAGATCTAATAATAAACGATATGCATTTTGTAGGTTCCTCTTTTGGGCAATTACTTGACGGATTTTGATGGTGGAATTGCATTTTGTAGGCCTCATATTTGCCCACATTCATCTAGTATCATCTAGTGGATTGAGGATGGAAAACATTTTGTAGGACTGGAAAGGCATGGGAGAACACATTTTTGGATGGGAGAACACATTTTGTAGGGCCCGGGTCTTCCAAGCTGCAGCCTGCTGCCTCATCTTAGCCAATTTTGGTTCAATCACGGGTTTTGACTCATTTCTGTTCCAGCCATGCCACCTCCACCGGGGTGTCCTGCAATTTGTCTGGCGACAAAATGTGTTGCGACAGTTCCACCGGCTGCCTGGGATCGGCAAAGGCATTGCTATTGTCACTTGGTGTACATTTGTTCCCCAGAAAAAGTGAAGAACAGTTGGCACATTCTCAAGTGACCTGCGAGCAGCGTCAACATGTATCATTGAATATCATTGATGTTTTTTTGGTATGGTTTGTTTGTGCTGAGGGACAAGTTGCCAGACTCAAGACCTGGGACGTCCCTCATATCACCATATCTACTGGGACACGTTGCTTGGATGAGCAGTTTGCGGCGCTGATGAACATGTTGCAAGGAACATTGATGTTTCATGATTTGTCTTGGTTTGAAAGCATTGTAGTTCTAGAATGCTGTTGCTATTTCAAGGAATCCGATATTTTGCTGCCGTGTCCACAAGCCGTTCATTTTGTAGGTACTTCCAGGTGTTCTGACATTTTGTAGTCATCTTAAAGCAGACAAAACTTTGTATTTGGATAAGGTGCACGGTTACTCCATTTCGAAATGGTTATCATTAATTTGAACACTGGAATTTTGCTTTGCAATAGCTGAGGGAAAAAAACAATCAGCATGATTTCTCTGATTTTTTCCATCCCAGGGAGAGCATGAGCTGGACCATGGTTCATGGCATCAGCCGCGCCAAGAAGAAGCAGAAGATTGAAATTTGGTTGCATATGGTTGCATCTTCAGGGAAACTAAAGCTATAGAATGCAAGGGCACCAGACTGGCCTATAAAATGGTCCCTACCCTCTTAAAAATGGAATTTGAATGAATTTGAGGAGGGTCGTATCGAAATTTCATTTTAAAATTCTATTTTTGCAATCATGTTTTCTCAATGATCAATCTTTATCAATATTCCTCATCATTCCATGGCATTGTCAGACGGAAGCAGCACATGTCAGACTATAAAATGCAATGCTTGGGTTACGGCACATTGATGCACACTGGAGTTTCGCATGGTTTATTTCATACGGCTCAAAACCATTCAAAACAAATAGGGACCAGGAGATTGGATTTGCTGGTTAGAAAAGCTCAAAAGCGGCATCGTTGTTGGAGCCATGTGGAGGGTGAGGGCGTTCCTCTTTTTGGCATGCCTGGGGATTGTGGCAGCCAAGCTCCCGAGCTTGAAGGATGACACCACGTGCAGCATCCCAGAAGCACAGCACCCCAGCTGCAGAATAGAGAGCTACAGAATAAAACAACACAATAGGGCTATCTACAGAATGCAATGCCTCCATTTTGCGACCTCCTATCCCAAGAGCTACAGAATAAAACAGCACAATAGGATACAATAAGGTTATCTACAGAATGCAATGCCTCCTTTTTGCGACCTCCTACTTTGAGAACTAAAGAATAAAGCAGCACAATAGGGTTGTCTACAGAATGCAATGCCTCCTTTTTGCAACCTCCTATCCCGATATAAGGTGGTATCAAGTAGAGCTTCACACTGAGCAATTGGCGCAGTGGATGGAGGAGATGGCGACTACATTGCCGCAGATATACCACTGTGTTGACGTTTTCGGTGCATCCGGGAGAATTGTGGACACCTGGATGGATGCTGGGTGGAACGCAATTGGGTTTGACAGCAAGATCCATCATTCCCACGATCAGTGCTCAGAAGGCGGAGTGAAGACGCTGCTCAAGATGGGTCTACAGCTCCTTGACTGCACAAATTTTGGGTTTGAATTCAATGGGATTTGGATGGAACGACTTTGGAATCAAAAAACCAAACTGCATGTAGATGATTTTCATTGATTTCCATTTTTCTCTACAGTCCAAAGCAGTCCGAAGCTATGATCAGCAGTCCAAAGCTATGATCTTTGCAAAATTAATTTGAGATTTAGGTAGGGGAACATCTGGACCATCTGTGGCAACGTATCCAGTCACATGGTTTGAAAGCATTGTAGTTCTAGAATGCTGTTGCTATTTCAAGGAATCCGATATTTTGCTGCCGTGTCCACACACCGTTCATTTTGTAGGTACTTCCAGGTGTTCCGACATTTTGTAGACATCTTAAAGCAGACAACATTTTGTATTTGGACATGGTTATCACCAGTTTGAACAGTGGAATTAATCAGCATGACTAAGCATAGAACAACTATGCTCTCTCAACTTGTCTCAACATGTGAAAATTTCTTGAGAACAAGCCAAATAATGGCATGAGGGACGAATATGCACCCCTTTGTGTCCCCCAAGTTCCACCCCAGGTTGATGAATGGTGCCATGCTTGTACTGGCACCTCCGTGTTCCCTTTTTGTACCAGCATGCAGTTCTGTACATCGCAGAACAGTTGCCAATCCAGAAGGAAATCAAGCCGTCCTGAAAGTGCGCTTAGCACAGCGTATTTGGAGAAATATGGATTCTTGGATTATTGGAAAAGTCGATAAGATTTGGGGCCAACCAATTTATAGATCTTTTGCTTGTGCCAGACACATTGTAGTGTGTCGCCTTTGATGGCCCTTGCATTTTGTAGCTTCGGCTCAGGCAGAATGTGTGCACTTGATCTTTCG